CAGCCTTGTACCTTAGTACCCCTGGATCTTCTCCCTCCACCATGGGGCTGGAGCTCCAGGGGAGTGAGGGGTTTCAATTGGGGATCACATCAGTAAGGGTTGGGGCTTTTTAGAGAGGCTTTTTTCCCTTCTCACTTGTGTGGCTCCCCAACTGATTTTTTGTAGGTCAGTGGCCCCCAATCTAATTAAGCTTCCCACTCCTTTGTAAAGGCAATGTTGAAACCTTTTTTGTTGGACGTAATATTTTACTTTATTTAAAATGAAGCCTGGCCAACAAGGCCCCCGTCAGGGCCCATCCCCCATATGGCCACAGCATCCTGTTTCTGACCCCCATCCTGGGGCAGGCCCCACGGTCCAACCTCTCTCTGGCCACAGGAAGGGCTGGTGGCGGCCCCCTTCCTGCTGCAGCACAGGTAGGAGAGACCACGATCCAGCTGGTTGGCAAGCATAGCAAGCAGGGGGTGCAGCCCCCTACTAAAATTTAAGGCTAGAAGGGTCTGCTTGGTCATCTATTCTGACCTCTTGTATTCCAGGCCATTACATTCCATCCAGTTATCCCTATTTAAAGCCCAATAACTAGTGTTTGACTGCAGCATAATTTATGTACGTCATAAGTCTAATTCCATCTCCCAGGAAGCATGGCTCATGGTGGAACCACCAGCATGGATATAGCTATACTGGTATAAAGATGCTTTATAATACTTATTCTCCTTCCCATACAGAAGTAGAAGTATATATAAAGTTTATAGCAGTAGAAGTGTGCCTACACTTGGGGTGGATGGTTGTACTGCTTTTTGTACTAATTAAGATCATGCAGCTTTTTTGTGTAACGAATCCCTGAGTCTGAGTCTTAAAAATGACCTGCAATAATTGTTTTAAACATTGGCATGCGTGCTCCTGTGCTTCTTATAAAGGGACCTGAAGGGGTGGTTACTGTTGCTTTATCTTTTAGAAATGACATGAATAGAAAGGCTAATTTTTTCCAAAATGTTAATTAGGCACTGGAGTTAAGCAGGGGTTAACAAAACTACATGACCAGCTATTAAAATTCCTTTTCCTTTCTACTGCATAGCTTTTAGTCCCAGGTCTCTTGTGATGTCACAATTGCATTGGTGTGCCACTGATCAGAGAATCTTCCAGGCTAGACTTTCTATTGTAAAAGACGGGGGGAAAAAGCTCCATCCTTCATATATCCTAAAGAAGGCAAAAAAAAAATCATAATCGCACTATTTTTCTTGCTCTGCAGATCACTTTTAACAAAGAACCAGCACCGTACCTTCACTGACTAAACAGTCAAGTCTGACTGCAATGGAAATGACTGACAGTCTCACGCTAGTTCCCACGATTCATCTTGAAGCTTCTGTCATTAAAAGCAACTGGGAAAGTACACTGAGTGGCCTTTTCTACCAAGTGGTCCTTTACCTCCACTACTACTCCCAATTTCCCTGTTTGGGAAGCATGGCTGTCATGGTGCATATGTAAACGAATCCTCACTTCTGGCATACCACTCTCTAGCCAAAGGTCTCCCACAAAGATCTCACCGCAACGACTCTCAGCGAAGGCAGGAGGGAATGCCACAGATATGAGTTCTTCATTCATCTGAAGAAGTGGGTTGTGTCCACAAAGTTCATGATACCATCTTCATTTGTTGTTGTGTTGTAGCACCTTAGAGACTATTAGTTATTTTTTACATTTTTACAGATATGACTCTCAAGCAGCCTCCAGCAGGAGACAAAAGAGAAGATCCACTGACGGAAAATACTATCCATATGCTGATCCCAGACTGGGAACAATCAGGACATCTTTTCTTCATTTTTTTTTTAATTAAAAAATAAATCGTAGGAATGATTTTCACTCATACAGCACTTTGCACGAGAAGGCCTCACAGTGCTTTACAAACATTAATTAAATAAGCCTCCTAGAGGTCCTGTGAAATAAGTAGAATAAGCTTCGCCCATTTATAGATGGGGAATTAAAGATAGAGAGAGACTGCTCTGCTGTGTGACCATGTCCAAGGTCACACAGCAGAGCAGTATCAGAGCTGGGAACAGAGTCCTGAGGTCCTTGCTCTTCCCACCTAAGCTGCATTCATTAAAATGAATGGACATCCCCAAAACCCAGCCACAGTTGTGATTCACAGCATAACTCACTGACAAGTGATCCAGCAATGACCAGATTCCACCAAATACACATTTCTTATTGTGATTCTTCCATTAGATTAATATTCTACCAAATTAAAAATAAAACCTGTATTAACTGGTGGTAGTAGAAAAGTAGAAGCTAAAAGCCCTGCCTCCTGAGATCAGGGCTCAGTTATGCTAGGTACTGTACAAGGCACACAATAAGAGCCAGACACTCCAAATACAAAGCTAGACAAAGTAAAGCTGGAGGAATATTGGGCAGGACTGGAAACCATGTGAGCTTTGTTATGGGAGGAAATATGATTAGCTCCATTTTAGTAGCTGGGAGCAGTTGTGCAGAGAGAGTAAGGGACATACCCAAGATCACACAGGAGCTCCGATTGAGCTGCAAATCCGGGACCAAAATAAGGACATTTGATCTCCTCCTTTGTGAAATCATCTGAAAAGCAGAATGGCGGGTGTTGTCACCTCCTCCTTTTGGGCCTGTTCTTAAATTAGCATTTTATATTTTATTTTTTAGGGGGTGTCATAGGGGCTGGCTCTTTGCTGGGAGTTAGGGACCAGCTTACCTGAGACAATACTCCTGTAAGGGAGCACAAGCCAAGTCAGATCCACCTGGAAGTAATTAAATCCTGAGATGACTTGGTGATGGTTAATTAGCCTGATAAAGGATTGCCAGTGCTCAGTTGAGGTGGTGCCTAGACACAAGCAGCGCATCAGAGAAAGGGACCTGAGGCATGCTCTGCTGCAGGGGTTCTAATCTCAACCCTTTTCTTTCTGAGGCCCAGTCCTTGTGCCATAACTGTTTTTCTCTGCATATAAAAGCAAGAGCTGGAATTAGGGGGTAGCAAGCAGGGCCACTGCCTATGGCTTCACAAAACTAATTTGCTTGGGCTCAGGCTTCACCCCTACTGCAGTAGAGCTCTGGCTTTCTGCCTTGAACCCCAGCAAGTCTACCAGGGGTCCTGCTTGGTGGACCCGTGGTTGAAAACCGCTTTACTGAGGGACAGAGCAGTGGCAGGAAGCCCTGTCAGAGAAACTAGATACTGCCCCACAGAAAAGCAGCATCTGCCTAGCCCCACCTCTGGGGAAGTATGTTAATGGTTAAAGACCCTATTCCAGGGAAAAGACCTGAGGTGAGAGAATATTGCTGAAGGGATGCATTGGACCCAGATGAGAATAGATAAAGTGAGACTGACTCAGTCTCCCAGTTAAGGTGCTGGAGTGAAGCAGGTTTGCTTCCATCTTCACTGGGCCACCGGGTCTAATGAACAATATCCTTTCTGAAGGGCCTAGCATCTTATGTAAAACATCTGAATTCACTGATGACGCTGGGAGAAACTGAGGAAGGGAGCATCCAATCTGGGAAGGAGAGAGCGATACAAGTAGAAACACCCAGTAATGGGAAACGTTACAGAGCAGACTTTCCACCTCACATAACTGCCTGGCAGGTCTCTAACCATTTTTTCCCCCAATGTTCAACCAGAGAATGTAAATCTAAAGCTGGTAAGCTAGGAAGTTTAGTATCATAAAATGATACTGTTTAATACCTCAGGCCATATCTTCTGAGCAGGGGATTGATCCTCAGTCAGCAACATCAGGATGCTGTCAGCTCACAGCACAATAAATGACGGAACTGGGACACAGCAAATGGCACTTTTAAAGCTTGTAGCAGAATAGCAGCTTGGTAGAGGCTTTACATTAAAAACAGAGTCACGTGCTGTATTCTTAGAGCGAGGGGTAATGCAGAGCAGATCCTTGGTAACAGTATAGAAACCATTTCCCATTTAACAAGTTTCCCTCTCATCTAATTAAGTTTTGTTCCTCCTCAGTAGTTTGCTTTCAGAACTTAGTTCTCTGCTCATACTGTCTCTGCTAACAGTGACATGGGTGTTAATAGGTTAAAGGAGTGGTCTTCTGATTTACTGGAAGTCAGAGAAAAAAAATGAGCTGCTGTTGCTGAGTCATGTCTCACGGATCTCCCTAGATCAGTGTTGGCTCTGTATCTCACTACCTCACATCTGCACTAGGAAATTATTTCAAAGTAAGTTATTTCAAAAGAATAACTCCCACAATAGCTATTTCTAAGTAAGCGTTATTCCTCATGGAAAGCTGGAGTTATTTCGAAATAACAGGCTTGGTAGCGTGGACACTCCACTTGTTACTTTGAAATAATTCCCTTGTGTAAACCAGGGTTATGGTAGCAGTAGTCACTCCTGCCAGAGGCACAATCTCTGGATGATAGATAAAACCTAGGGTTCTGAACATTCATGCTTATTAAAGATCTCCCTTTGCAGCTCCTTCCCCCCCACCCCAGCACTTCCTCTCCCTCCTTCCCCCCACCCTTTTAATCCTACCATTATGGCCAGATTCTAAATTGTTAGATTCTAGGGACCTAAATCCACCTTGGATACAGCATACTTAATTTTCTGCTTAAAATCACCTCATATTGTTATCATGGATCATTAAAGGGGTGCTCAGTTCCACCCAAGTAGCGGGTACACTTTATTGCTGGGTACTTGTAAAACACTTTATAATGACACTTATTCAGTCTGAAATATCCTAAACTTCTATAAATGTTACTCTGTAGGACTGTACTAGATCAACCCTATCTTTCATGATTGTACCAAAATTTAACCCACAGAATGCACAGAAGACAGCTGTGTTAGTGATTATAAAATAAAGCCACACATTTGTCCATAAATGCTCAAACACTGTTAGAAATTAGAGGGTGAGTAAGGATGACCAGAACTTATTTTATATTCAGAATAGAAAATGCAAGCAATTGTGTATTGTAATTTGATGTCCACAATCCAAATACTCTTGAATAAATCTTGCTGAAATTATCTACAATAGAGGTTTCTTCTTGAAATAGTCTTTAATTCAGTGGTAATACAATGTATACACTTAATTATGTCTTCTCTTCTCTTCCCATCTTTCTTTACATGATCAAAGCCTGCATATGGATAATAGTGCACTGAAAAGATTTAAAACAAAAAAACAAAAAAAAACCACCGACCCAAAACCACACACACAAGCCGCAGGAAGTGTACAAACCTACCTGAATCCAGGCTGTTCTGATAAAGGATATAGTTTTGCAATACAAATTCTCACTTTTTATTAATATAAAGTTCAATCTCCTTTAAATGACATTTTGCTCAACATAATTTTGCAGTAAAATATTCAGCTGACTTTAGACACATTATTACAAACTTCAGTTGGGTAAAGCATTCACTGAAAGTTTGCATGCAGAGTGGGGATGTTAAAGTGTTTAGTTAGGCATACATGTAATTTCAGCGGTTACACTTTACACATGGGGAGTACCTCCCCCACCCCATGCTGCTGCCTCGGTCTCTGAGGCAGCAGCAAGGAGGGGAGGTGACTCCTTCCTGTTGTTCCGTACTGTTGCCTGTGATACAGAGGCAGCAGCATGGGGTTGGAGAAGGCCCGTGTGTGTAACCATATACACATTTACACTTTCAGATCCCTAATGCAGAGTAACTATATTATACATATATATATTTGTATTGTATTTGACCAAGTACTCCTGTTGGCCCACAGTGGGAATTTTCTTTATTATGTTTAGTGCCACTTCCCTCTCTTATATTCTCAATTTTTTTGACTGCTCAAAATGGAAGTAATGAAAATGTATTAAGAGAAATTTAAATCAACAGTAACCTAAACTTCCCAGCACAAAAGTAGGGATAAATATTGACTGCCAAAACAAGTGAAATTTTGTATACTTAGTACGCACCCATCCCATCAATTTTCCCCAATGTTTTTTTTAAAAAAAGACGATTTGATGTAAGAACAGTTATGTACTCTATACATTCAGGTAGCTGCATTTTCAGGCTTCCTGTTGACACATTAAGTCACATGATGGTCACAATTATGAATCATGGGGCTTTTCAATCATCTTCAATCCAAGTCTCCCGACCATTAATAGACTGTGTAAAGGAAAGCATTTATAAGTTCACAGAATTAAAAAAAAAAAGTGCAGAGCAAACTTCTAAATACTCTCTTCCCCACTCCCAAAAAACCCACAAGTAGAACACTGAAATTATCTGATTTTAAAAAGATATATGAAATCTTATTTACATTTTTATAATCTTAGAATACAATAAATTTAACCCAAATTGAAATAAATAGGAGTGACTCAAACACATTGAGTAAGATTAGAAACAGCCTGTGGCATAGTACCTGGCACCAGCAATTAATCCTGCAGGCATGACTTTTCTAGAGTTGTAAAATCTCATTCCCATAACTCCAGCCAGTGTTCCAGATGCAACTAAATGAAAGATCAGATGACCAGTCAGAACTATTTCAGAGTCATGTGAGCAAGAAAGATATGCTAACTCCAACCAAGCAAAAAAAATGAGTGATAAATAATAGCATCAAGCAAAGTATGAAATAGGATTAGTTTCATATACTAAAAGTCAAGAAAACAATTAAAAACAACAACACTGTTCTGTAAGGGGTAATACCTTAAACCCATGTTTACACACTGCACATGCCTAAAGTTCCCTTGGTAAAGAGTGCATCCTTGATCAGATATAAATTATTCCAATCACAATTCAGGAACCGATTCCCTCCACATCTTTGGGCAAATACCTCGGTTTGCCCAATTCATGCACATGTGTGCATGAGAGAGAATATATTTCCTCACTATTTCTCAGAACTGTTCTGAGGATTAGTTAATTTGTGTTTATAAAAGATTTTGAAGATGATCCATGCTAAATGTGTCTTAAGTATTGTTAACTTATTTCAAGAACCTGCACTATCTTCTATTAGCTGAGCTACAAGTGAGCATTATCCATCTTGATCAACCACTCTTGGCACAAAACTCATAGAGCTGATAAACTGAAGGGCCAAATACTGGAATAAAGCCGGTCCCTGACTTACGAACGAGTTACATACCAAACAGTAGGTCGTAACTCGATCTGTTCATAAGTCATATTACATTCACTTACGTACAGCCACGCTGTTCATAAGTGCGGATTTCGTTCGTAACTCAGGTTCCGGCTGTATAGGAGGCTGGTCGTAGATATGATGCGTTCGTAACTCGGGGACCGGCTGTACTACACACCTCCAATTACAGGGCTGAGTGATTAGAAAAATGTGCAAAGCTGATTCCTCAGCACAGAAGACATATGGACAAGGAAATCCTTAGCTCCATCATGTAGTAGCCAGCTCACAGCAATAATTGTAAAACATAAAAGTAAGCAGAATGGGAGACATCTGGGACCATTACCTATATGGGAATGGGATTAACAGATCCATCTGTGCACAGATCCACTGCTCAACTCCCCACAAATAATTCTAATGAGCCTATTTACTCAAGTAAGGGTTTCCAGGGTAGAGCAATAGTTTGTATACAACTATAGCCTAGGTTATGAGCGGAAATGATATTTAAATTGGTTGCCTTTCACAAGTATTTTGTTAAAACTACCTTAAAACCTAATGAACTGATCACCATAAATGTAATCAAACAAAAATATTTAGTGGCAATTAATGCACCTTCTCCATTCAAAAATCTGGATATATGAAGAAAAAACTTATGTGCTTTTATATAACAATAGATAAGCACATCTGAGTGTCTCACATTCCAAGTGACTGGGGAGTTATTTTGCCTTCACAATGCTGACATTAAGGTTTTGTGTTATGCCACCTTCATTAAACTTGCAGTATGTATTGCTTTGAGAATCTGTTGGAGATGGGAGTGAAAGCCTTACAGAGCTCAGACGTGCATATCAACAGGGTTAGACAAATAATACAATCTACTCGCCCGGGGCGAGTAGATTGCAACCCAGAAGAGCCGGGTTCAGGCGATCTGCGCATGCGCAGATCGCCGGACAGCGTGGCTGGCGAGCAAGGCTCGCCGTGGTTCGGCAAGCCCTGCATATCAACATTGCTATAAGCAATATGAAGGTGAAAAGGAATACACAATCTTTCTCTGTTATTTCCATAGTTCTAAGGTTTAAGCAGGTGGAAAGCCACAATCTTAACTGCCATTGAATTAATTTTTGTTTGCTAACTTACTGGGATTTTCTATGCAGCTTGGGGAGAAAGGAAGTTGCACCTGCGTGGGAACCAAAGGAATAAACTGCCCTGCTGAAGCAGCAGCTAAGTTGACCATCATGAAGAGTGAGACAGTGTGATGTTCCCCAGTAAACTGGGATCTTGTAACATTTTAATAACTTATAAATTGGAATAAAAAGTAAACAAAGAGTAACCCTCTTCATTTAGCAGAGAAAATGTAACCTCCCCGTTGGAGGGAACCTCTGTGAAGGAACAGTTGCAGCAGCACCGTCTCATCCCTGCCTTACAGCAGTAGAAATGCCTATTGCACTCCCTCCTCCCAGCCAATATAAAGCACATGGCTCAATGTGAGATCCCTGCCCGTGACAACCATCAATTTGGGCAAGACCAAGGATAGCACTGATGACCTCTAGAGCCAAAATAATGCATTTTTACAGCTTGCTCTGTAGCGGTATGCTCTCAAGCTAAGAGTAGTCACCGAGAGACATTCTCTGTGGATCAGACACAGAGGGTTACACTTAACATGGCCTGCTTCCTTTGTGTTATACGAACAAAAGGTACGCCAGGTGGCTGCAATAGGAAACATATATTTTGGTGAGTCACACCCTTTTACAGATTGTAATTTTAAACAAAAATCTCTGACCAAAAGTAGTAGTTCTTTATGTGAACTGCATACAACCATTCACCTCCCAGCAGCAGCAGAGTTTGAACTTCTTGACCTTCAGATACCCTATTAGGCCCTTAAAATTTGAGCTACGAGTTTTGCTTTCTGGACCTGTCATTGGAGGAGGACTTGACACACACTTTTAAGTGGGTTACACTGTTGATCAGAACCTGTGGCTCTGGGAAAAGAATGTGGTTTACAGCTGTTAAGGACATGATAACCCAAAACGGTTTTAGTCTCTCTGAAAGACATGTGGTGCAGTGGAGAAGATTAGGGTTGGTTATCTTAGGGTTCTGCACCTGCACTAAACTTGCATAAACTGTTAACTTATTTATTTTTTTAAAAAGGGACGGAGGGAAAGAAGTTTGGCATCAACAGCTCTTTCCTGTCTTTTAGGTAAGGGTTCATGGCTGCAATAAGTAGTAGGAGAGTGAACTGTAGAGGAACTTAAACAGCATACAGAAAGTGACACAGCATATAGAAAGTGACAGTGTTGAACTCCTAGTCTCCTCTTTCCTAGCCTAAAGGCAGCATTTGTTGGTGGCTTCTCTCTCACCATTTCTGGAAGTGATGACCATTCATATCCCCACGATTTTTCTTCACACTGAAATTAGGCAGGTTTAGCTTGACATGTTTTTCATTAAAACAAACATGTCATACAATACAGGACTATGTAGCACTTTAAAGACTAACAAGATGGTTTATTAGATGATGAGCTTTCGTGGGCCAGACCCACTTCCTCAGATCAAATAGTGGAAGAAAATAGTCACAACCATATATACCAAAGGATACAATTAAAAAAAATGAACACATATGAAAAGGACAAATCACATTTCAGAACAGAAGGGGAATGTGTGTGTGGTGGGGGGGGGGGGAAATGTCTGTGAGTTAATGGTATTAGAGGTGATAATTGGGGAAGCTATCTTAGTAATGGGTAAGATAACTAGAGTGTTTGTTGAGACCCACGCGTAAAGTGTTGAATTTTAGCATGAATGACAGTTCAGAGGATTCCCTTTCAAGTGCAGATTTAAAAGGTCTTTGAAGTAGGATGCAGGTAATTAAGTCGTTGAGACAATGTCCTTTCTGGTTGAAATGGCAAGAAATTGTTTTTTCTTTGTGATCCTGTCTAATATCTGTTTTGTGGGCATTGATCCTTTGGCGAAGTGTCTGAGACGTTTGTCCAATGTACATAGCAGACGGACACTTTCAGCACATGAAAAGGAATAATTTATGCTATCAACTTATTCATAAATGATCTGGAGAAAGGGGTAAGCAGTGAGGTAGTAAAGTTTGCAGATGATACCAAACTGTTTAGGATAGTCAAGACAGAAGCAGACTGTGAGGGACTCCAAGAAGATCTCACCAAACTGAGTGATTGGGCAACAAAATGGCAAATGAAATTTAATGTGGATAAGTGTAAAGTAATGCACATTGGGAAAAATAATCCCAACTATACGTACAGTATGATGGGCGCTAATTTGGCTATGACAAATCAGGAAAGAGATCTTGGAGTTATCGTGGACAGTTCTCTGAAAACTTCCACACAGAGTGCAGCGGCGGTCAAAAAGGCAAATAGGATGCTAGGAATTATTAGGAAAGAGATAGAAAATAAGACCCAGAATATCTTACTGCCCCTGTATAAAACTAGGGTATGCCCACATCTTGAATACTGTGTACAGATGTGGGCTCCTCACCTCAAAAAAGATATTTTAGCCTTGGAAAGGGTTCAGAAAAGGGCAACTAAAATGATTAGGGGTTTGGAATGGGTCCCATATGAGGAGAGGTTAAAGCGACTGGGCCTTTTCAGTTTAGAAAAGAGGAGACTGAGGGGGGATATGATAGAGGTCTATAAAATCATGAGTGGTGTGGAAAGGGCTGATAAAGAAAAGTTATTTATTAGTTCCCATAATAGAAGAACTAGAGAACACCAAATAAAATTAATGGGTAGCAGGTTTAAAACTAATAAAAGAAAGTTCTTCTTCACGCAGCGTGTAGTCAGCCTGTGGATCTCCTTGCCAGAGGAGGCTGTGAAGGTTAGGACTATAATAGAGTTTGAAGAGAAGATAGATAATTTCATGGAGGTTAGGTCCATAAAAGGCTATTAGCCAGGGGATAAAATGGTGTCCTTGGCCTCTGTTTGTCAGAGGCTGGAGAGGGATGGCAGGAGACAAATCGCTTGATCATTGTCTTCGGTCCACCCTCTTGGGGCCCCTGGTGCTGGCCACTGTCGGTAGACAGGATACTGGGCTAGATGGACCTTTGGTCTGACCCAGTATGGCCGTTCTTATGCTACCCCAGAGTCCGATGTTTGTGGACACCACATTAAACTTGCTTAGTTTACAAGTAAACCCATGGTTTTGTGAAAGCTCATCATCTAATAAACCATCTTGTTAGTCTTTAAAGTGCTACATAGTCCTGTATTTTGCTTCAGCTATACCAGACTAACACGGCTACATTTCTACCACTATGTCATACAATGGCTCTATAGACCAACACCCATGATGTATGGATACGAATTAGTATATGAAGATAACAATGTGGCTAAAAGTCGGGACCTGGATTGATTTAAATTTATTGCAAAAAGAGCACAAAGAAAAATGAGAAACTAGCAGGAAAGGATGTGGGAGGCACACCAAAGGGAATGATTTTTAAACTCCTATTATTCTCTCTATCAATTAATTTTTATGAAACCATCATGAAAAATTCAAATAGTGAAAAAACCCCATAAAATATAAACAGAGCACTATTCCCGTGAGAGTTTTACAAAATAAAGGTTTCACTGCCCTATTAAAAATGAACTTTCAAGTACAATATTAACTATTGTGCACAAAACTGCTTCACCATAATATATACCCTTGAAATGTTATTAACCTAAGTTTACTTTACTTAGATATTTTAAAGTAGACTCACTCAGAGAAAGCCACACATTCTTTGGATTCTGAGACAGCTGGTAAGCACCCAGTCCAGCTAAGCTTCCAAAGAGAAGACCAGCAGCTAGAGATGGGACACTACCTTGAATAAATAAAAAAATAACGCACTTATTACAAGACCAGACAAGAACTTGGTCCATAAGCCAAGCAAACAAAACAATCATCTTCATTAACTGTTACAGGATCGACTAGAATTTAGATCAAATAGGAGAGGATGTTCATATTTGAATAGGCTGGCTTTTGTTAAGAAAGTCATTATATAGATTAAAACGTATTAAACTAATTGCACGTAACATTGCAGTACTTACTTCTTTCACATGCAAATAAGTCATTGATAAATTAAAAACAATAAAAAAAAGAGTCACCAGAATAAAAGCATCAGACATGACCTTTGATGGGTAAAACAACTTTTTTCCATAAAATATTTCCAAAGCTCTTGAAAGGTACGAGCATGAAAATAAAGGAATTAATTAAGTAGGGTGGCACAGATTTCACACAGTAACAGCCTGAGATTAGAAAAAGGAAATTTAAATTAGCAAGGCAAGACAATTAGACAACTTGCCAAGAATGTCTAGGAGGCACCAACAATAAAAGTATTCAAGGTTAAACACACCAAAAGCCCAAACCCAAAGCCACTGGAAACAACAGCCAAAAACAAAACATAACAAAAACACCTTCATTGACTTGAGTGGGCTTTAGATCTGGTCCTTCATGCCAAGGATAACCTTGCACCATTGACAAAAGATGGATGCTATTTTCAGCCCTATACTCAGTGATTTGTAAGTCTGTATATGGAATTGACAAAATATCATCACCTTTAATACATGCTAAAAAGAGCATTCCATGCCTATCGCTAATGGTGACAGCATTCTGTCTGTTCTATTTGCAGGTCACCATTAAAATAATCTGAAGTTGTAAGGCCAGTATGATAAAGGTTTTGACTCCAGGTTTGACAGAATGATTAGCAATAAGAAGCTGATCATTCTTCAGTCATAAATACAGCAACTGGACTATCGGTTCAGATCCCACATTTGGGATAAGACAGGGAAAGGAGGTGCAGGCTACACTCATTTGTGTAAGGAAAAGATACACACCTTAGCAAATGGCTACTCTATCCCATTCAATTCAGCTGTGTAGCAACAGTTTCTTCTCCAAATATAAGGTAACTGGTTTCCGTAGAATGACCTCTGCATACCTGAATTTTGTCTCAATGATCTAGAATTATGAGATTCCCATGCCCACGACTACTCTCATACAGTACCTACTTCCCCCTGCCATCCCTTGGCATAACTGGTGGTGGGTAACAGGGGAATGATGCCAGGGTGTCTCCATCATGCATACAGATTGGTTTTGGACCACCCCACTGAATACAATGCAGGCAAGACTGGCTCCATCATTAAGTACCGAAACATAACAAGACCTAAAGTAATTATATACACACTTGGACATTTGAATATATGCTCAGACAGGCACTCAGCCTACAAATAGTGACATCATTAGGTAAGTCAGCTCTTTTTTGTGTGGATATCAGATGGTCAGTTGACCATTTTCAGGTTTAAGTTAAAAGTAGATGGCTAAAGAATAAAGGGAACAACTATGTACACAGCCATTTACTCTGTTACTTTTTCTTTATTTTTAATATGGTTCTCCCATACTTTTACTGTTACAGACAGGTCTCAGTTATTAGCAGTCTCTCATTCCCCTGTTAAGTCACCTCACTTGTTTTTACTCCTCCCCTCAAAAAAATCCTCTTTCCTCTCAGACTGGAAGTCAAAAGACTTGACTATGCCACTGAATTACAACCTGAACACATACAAGTCACTTAAATTCTGGGCTTCAGTTTCCACATCTGGAAACAGATAAGAATGCTTACTATTTTGTACACTGCTCTGAGAATTACTGAGCAAAAAGTCAGTGTCAGTTCCAAGTGTTGTTCATTCCCGCCACTGGTCATCTACAGGATGAAGCAAGCTAGTGGAAAGCACATTAAGTTCTCTGAAGCGCCCCTTTATTCACATTTGTGCACAAAACTCTTACTGAATTCAATGACATATGAACTAGGGGTGTGAAAGGTTAACCAGCTAACCGGTAACATCACCTTAATGCTTAATGCTTAATGCATTATGCCCCCACCCACCCCCGTGCAGGGGGCTGCTCTAGCCCCATGGGGCCCAATGCATGCAAGGACTGCTCCAGCTGGTGCCCCCCCCCTCTTCAGGTTACATGCTGGCAAGAACTTGGCTCCCAAGAAAGCAGCTTCTCTGTGACCAGGCTAACAGCTCCATTCCCAGGGATGAGGCTTCCCTGCCTCAAAGAAGACATAACTCCCCAGGAGCTGAGCCAGCAGGGTCTGGTGGCCCTGTTCCCAGGGAAGCTTCACTTAGGACTCTGCAGTATAAAGCTTATTTAAGTTTTAGATGGCAGAGCCCACAGCATGTGTAACTGCTAGGGTTTTCAGCTGTTACATAGTTACCTTTTTAATCAACTGTTTACATCCCTAATAAAAGCAAGTTCTTGGGTTCCCTTCCCACATGAACTGAGGCCTCCCATGGCAAGAATTTTACAACTGATGAGCCACAGTTCTGTGGGAAGGAGTGCAAATGCAGAAAAGCAGAACTGGAAGCAGCAGATCAAGGAATAACGTTCCAAGTGCAACCATGTTCAGTGCAGCTCTGCCACAAAATATTGCTAAAGAATTCTGACTTGTTTGTGCTATGTCACAGTATTTACAGAAAGGTTACAATGGAAAGCTGAGCTCTCTAAATATTTACAGTTTAAATGTAAACTTCTACATGTATCATTTTTAGAAGTCATAAGGGGACATTTTGCAATGTACAAAATGATGCTAAATGATAAAAAACAAAATTAAAAGCCACTAACAGTTAACCTTTTTATATATTATCTAAAAATATAAAGTAGGTCACGGATATTCAAGACATCAGCAATAAAGCCTTTGTGAAGCAAGCTTACAACAATTCATAAAGGCCATCAGTAGATGGATGGGTGTTTCCACTCCCCAACATCTGATTCAATTATGCACCAGAGAATTTGAGCATTTATCAATACTATACCTGCTTTTACGTAGCCAATTATTCCACCTGATGCAACCAATGCTGCATAGCCAAAGCCTATCCAGTCCAAACCCATTCTGGGAACATAACAAGGAAATCAGAATTATATTAGTTCTTTTCATTCCTTCCTTCCAATTTATACATCAACTTTCTACAATTTAAGATTCATTTTAACTTACTTTAATGTTCACACAGATATTAACTTGATAACACTTGAAACAGATGTTCTTATTTATAATGTACAATTTATGTATAATGATTAAAGGTTGGGCAACAGCAAAACAAACTTCCTATACTGCTCTGTTTTTAGGCAAGTTATTGGCATTCATTGAAAAACAAAAGCGGTAAGGAGTCCTGTGACACCTTATAGACTAACCGAAGTGTTGGAGCATAAGTTTTCGTGGGCAAAGACATGCATCTGACGAAGTGGGTCTTTGCCCGTGGAAGCTTATGCTCCAACACTTTGGTTAGTCTATAAGGTGCCACAGGACTCCTTGCCGCTTTTGCAGATTCAGACTAACACAGCTACCCCTCTGATAATTGAAAAAAAGAAAACATACATACACTACAACTTAAAACCCTAAGAACATGAAAGCACCCTTATATCAGTGTATCTGGATGCAAAGGTAAAGGCAACCCATAGGAACGGGTGAACTGTTCTGGACTAACTGACAGACTATCAAACACATTAAGTACAGAATATTGAAGTAGATTTTAAATGAGTTTGATGAAAATTGAACTAAATTGAATTAAAGCCCAAAGAGAAGGATTAGATCGCTCCAATGTGTTAGGAAGTTGGTTCAGTGCAGTGTGTATTTCTAATGGTTTCAGACAGCAGCACTTAAGTTGCTCCTCAATAGAAGCCATTGGTAATGTTTCCATGTCAAGCATCCTAAGTAAGTCTACAATAAAAATGTAAGAGGTAACAAAACTCATTGTCCAGCTCTAGCCCAGAACATCCCTGAAACAGCAGAGCTGGGCCATGATGCCAGATCAGATGCGTATCTGGACTTTCTGCACCTTCAGGGGCATCCAGATCTAGGTTTGGATTCAGCCCAGTATGCACAGAGGGGGCCAGCCCCTATTCTGGAGCCAAGCTTCCCCATAGTCTGGGAAAACTCAGAGATTGGGGGGGCTGATTCGGGCTTGTTTCTGTAAGAAGACCCCTTGCTGCGATCACCTAAGCGGGGTGCAGTGACTACAGGAAAGCATCAGAGGGGTAGCCAAATAACAAATAGTCTGTAACAGGAAAAACTTAAAAAGCAACAAATAGTCTAGTAGCACCTCGGAGAATAACAAAACGTGTAGATGGTATCACGAGCGTTAGTGGGCAAAACCCACTTCTTCAGATGACCGGAGTATTAAAAGTCCAGATCCAAGAATAAATAAGGGGGGAGGGGGAGGAGAAAAAAAAAGGAGAAGCAGTTTGCCAGCCCGACGCTTGCAAGTAGGGAACAGCCCAGCCCTGGCCAGAGGGGAACCCCACCACCTCGAGCCCGGGGTCCCCAACTGCAACCCAGCGCACACTCCTCGCCCTGCGCACTGGCACCTTCGCCCGCCCCGCAGAACAAACCGGGCGCCCCGCGCACTGACCTGCCCAGGCGCCCAAAGAGCCACCGCGGAGCCGCAGCACCAGGGGGCGGGGCGTCCCGACCTTCCACCCCCGAACCTTGCGGGGGGGGGAGGAGGGACGAGCCAGCCAATCAGAGCCGCGCCCGGAGTAGCCGGCTAGGGAAAGTGTGGCCGGGCCGCGCACAGCCCGGGGTTTCCCTCCCTTTCTGCCCAGGGGCGCTCTGGTCACTACCCCCGCCCCCAGCAGCCGCGCGCCTCTCCCAGCAAGTCTTCTCCCCGCGGGGGGCGGGCAGGCCACAGGCTCCTCCCCCTCTTCCCCGCGTGCATCAGGCTGGCAGCCGGGCGGGGTGCGCGAGACGGGGGGGGGGAGGAACACTTGAGTTCGGGCTCGTGTTTCCTTAGCAGGAGCCTCCCTCTGCAGGCGCCGCAGCAGCAGCAGCGGCACGTGAGCGGGCGGCTGCCGCCCCTGCTGACACGGGCACGTAGAGACCAGAGGGAAGGGAAGTGGCGCCCGTGACAGCGCGTTTCCCTGCCCCGCCCGCGGTCCCCGTCCAGGATCCCCCTGAGCCCGCGGGGAGGGAAGGGGCAGGCTCGTCCTGTGACCCTTGGGAGCGGCGCACACCCCTGCGGGTCCCGCTGCGAGCGGGGCTAGAGGTGCAAGGAACAGAAGCCAGGACTGTGCAGCACTCTAAAGACTAACAAGATGGCTTGTTAGGGGAAGACTTTGTGAGAGAAATGGTTCAAGGGGAACCTCCTGAATGCTCCTCCCCCCCTCACCCCACGACGGGGAAGAGACGGAGCACTTTGGGGTGGGTCACTTTTCCGCCTCTTAGCTTGCTCACAAGCAACCCACCACAATGGGTGCAACCGTGATCAACAGCTCGTGGGCCAGGGTGTCTGGGGCATCTGATCGCTTCTCAGCATGTCTGTTCCTCGGAAGCAAATCTCCTGGATGTGCTCCGTAAGATAAAACGGGGGCTTTCATATAGACTGGTCTTACTGCGATAAGAACGTGCTATCAGCGTACAGCACTGGACATGTTTCAGTTAAGCCTTTAGCTTGAAGACTCCACTTTTTTAACATATATCTTTAGCCTCCACCATGGTTATTTACACTTGCTAAAATATGTGAGCCTGTGGGGAAAAAACAGTTGGCCTGTCACTGCATATCCCTCAAAAATAAGGAAAAAAAAACCTGAGAGATTTTAGTGAAGGGTTTCTGTTTTTAAATGTCACTTCAAGAATGTTATCAGTAACTTTAGAGACTACAGTTTGCCATAGGAGATACATTTCAGACTTAACTAGAACAATTGCCTCTGTACTGTCTGGCTCCTAACTTATAAAATTTTTGTCTAATGTCCAACTTTGGGCCTATAATCAACACATCAGGACTTATAGTTTATTATTCCCAGGGAAATTCTTACAAAAAATTCTGTAACAAATTTTAATTTTTTTGTTTAATTTATGCAAAATTCTGTATTTTGTCAAAATAACACACTATAATCACACCAGTTTCCATTATTTTTGTTCACTTATTTCAAGACACCTGTTAGCAAGTATGTCTGTAGTAATACAAACAGAAAATTCAGAAAGTGTTTTTTTAAATAGATTCTTTTCTAGGCACATTAATACAAAACTCTTGAGTAATAATTTATTTAAACTACAATACATAACCATATCTCCTGCGACACTCAGAAGCCCTGCTAAGGTTTGGGAGAGGGGCTTGCTGGGAAGGAGCCTTGGTGTGAACTTTCAGGGTTGTTGTGTATGAGTATTGAGAATTTTCTTCTGGGAGATGGTGAGGGAACTTCCCCCATGCAGATCCTGTCTGACCCCCTAGCCTCTCCTATTGAGTCAAGCACATGTGCCCTGTGCTGTAGTGTACAGTGTTGGTTGTTGCCTGTGGGTGAGGGACAGGAAGACTGAATGCTTTCTTGTCTGGGTGCCCAAAAAAAAAGCTGAACACAGGGCTCCACTAACTCTGAACCCACCACTGCTTAGGAGATCCTGCCAGACCCCTCCCCCCCCCAA